CCCCAAAACCCCAAAACCCCAAAACCCCAAAACCCCAAGAAAAGATGGGGACTGAATACACGTCATTTCTAATTATAATTTTAACAAGAAAGATGGCTTCATCCTCTTTTGATAATCAGTACACTAACTTTATTTCGATATGTAAAGGAGTTCAGGCGAAAGATCCTAGTATGCAGCCTAGAGTGCCTCATCCTCATTTGGTTCAGCATTCAATGGCCATAATAGTCAGACTCAGGAAGAATAGGTAATTATTACATATCTGCGTAAATCTTAACGTTGATATAGAAGTGGATATAGAACAGAAAGCACAGGTAAGGAGAGCCCAGTTAAGCCATTGATACAATAATCATGGAATCTCTTGTTAACAGCTGGTATAGAATACATTCCACCAAACTATACAGAGCAGGCTGAAGTTATTGTACCAGATGCTAATCCTGAGGAAGTGGATGAGAATGATAATTCAATGGTCTACCAAATTGACCCAGGGTTTATTAAGCTCATGCCTAAACTCACTGAGGAAAAAGTTATGGCAAAAACCATTTTGGAGCTGAAAAACAGGAGTGTAGGTGTACTCCCAACAGCAGATATTGATTCTCATTTTTACTCCCAGCCAGACTTTAGTCCATCGGATTGCTCTGTAGAGTATTTATTACTCAGGAGAACCAACGATCCTGACTACAATGAAGGTAAGCTTGGTTTCAACTATGTATAGAGAGCAAGGATAATCGAGATACCATCTTCCAGGGCTATACCTCTCTCCCAGGAGGTGTTCATATTTATGGTGAGAACTCATTGGACGCAGTAGTAAGAAATACTTATGAGCAAACTGGATATGATCTCACAGACCATGAGAAATTCTGATTGGTTGGACAATCAACTAAGAAGCATATTATTAGATATTTACCAAACAAAAGAGTAGTCGTTGCTAAAGCTTTTATCTTCTGTCAATTGGTGCCAGATGTTATCCCAATCAGAAATCCACCTCCTGTCCCTGGGATAGTATCCATGTAAGAACTTTATTGATGATTAATAGGTATATGTGGAGTCATCTAGACTTCCTCTATCACGCAGATGTAAGCAAGCATGTGGAGTACCGTGAAGTCACCTCTGAAATTCTCAAAAGAAGCTTCAATCATGTCAAACTGGCTCAACTCAGAATTGCCAATGCAGAGAATTATGAGCTTGTTGAAGTTGTAAGAGATCCAAAGAAATGCGATCCAATGTTTTCACTTTGCGGTGGTAAATTAATTACAATTATATATAGCTACATTAGGAATGCTCTTGGCACTTTATGACGTAGCTCCAGATGTATACGATAAAAGTAAATATGCCCCTCTTGTGAGAAAGCAGTTCTCCATTCAGCTTAAAAGGTACTTCTAAAAGTAAATAACTTAGATTTAATCCAGCATATTTTGGAAGGTTTGGAGATTTCATCTCAAAGCATACTGGTAAGCTTACGCATTAGATTTTAGTCCACAATTATTTGATAAATTTGGACAAGAAACTTAAGTCAGACTACGAAGAAAGAGATGCTGAGATAAACTATCTGTATATCTATCCAACTTTGATAGGCACTGCTTCTCTATTTTACTTAATCAGAAGAGCGAGAAATGGAAAACAAAAGATGAAAGCGAAAATATAGTTAGGATCTTAAACTGCTTCAATTATTCATTAATAATTCGGGGTTTTGGGGTTTTGGGGTTTTGGGGTTTTGGGGTTTTGGGG